TTTTTTTTTTTTAGTGATTTTGAGTTTTATTCCACATTGTTCTCCTACTCTATCTAGGCTTTTCTACATAGATTCCCCTCTGAGTAGGACAGAGGTCGCCGGGCACCATCTAGTTCTTCTGGTCTCACAGTCATGTAGGCTGAAGATTGCATGGTGTACCAGTCCCTTGGAGTAATTATTTCCATGCATCTTTGTTTTTCTTCATTCTTCTTTGCTCTGGACGAGGAGAAACCCACTGTTGCATCTAGATAGCCACTTGTAAGCTTTTAAGATCCCAGTCACTACTTGCCAAAGTAGGATGTGGAACAACATTTTTGTATAGTATGTTATGCCAGTTGAGCTTGATATCCCCTGCAACCATGATCCCGAGCCCACAGGTCCAACTACTTGGTCCCTCTGGGTAGCTGGCTGTGGCCAAGAAGTCACTACAACTTTGTCCCTTGTCAGCTCTACTATATCCTTGGGAATTCTTACAGAACATACTAATACACTTGTGGAAGCATTGTCTGCCAATCCTACATATGGTCATGGGCACACTACCTCCTACATAGACAAACCTAATTTTTCACCTGTCCACCCATCTATCCACCCATATATCAATGTTTGCCTTCACTGACAATGCAGTACTTTATGTGCAAAAGGGTCCATCTTTGTTGTCTGTATCTCCCATGCACCTCTCTATGTCTTCCTCTTCCTCAATGCCACCGTGTTGATCACTCACATTTGGTACATTGCCCTTCCCTTCACCCAAATCAATACTTGTCTCTACCTGTGTAGCAGTGGAGTAACATTTATCTTATTCAAAATTCATTTATATTGATTCCAGGAAGGGACTCTACACATAATTCTCTGAAGGGGAGACTCTCTCTGGTTGTATAAAAAGAAACATTATTAACTAATGCAACCTTCTTTTAACATGTCTTTGGAACATGTGTTTTCACATTCTAAATGTTAAAAGATCATGCCAGGGTTCATAAAAGCATGGGTTGCCAAGATAGAAAATTATTTAAAATAGAATTTTTCCAATATTCAATTAAAATTTGTAGCAAAGAAGAAAGAGAGGAAAGGAAGGAATTGGAGGGGAAGGCTCTACACTGGTCTGAATTTGAGAAAGGATAGAGCCTTTTAGAGATATTTTGGAAAATAAGGCAAGACATAGGACCTGAAAATTTAAGTTTATATTAGAGAAAAAAGAGAAGTCCTTAAGTTAACTTATTCTAAATCTTGAAATTCTCATAAAAGACTCTTAATTTGTATAAAGAAAGCCATGACCGTTCTCTAGGAGAACCCTCGGTCTTCTGTGATTCTGTATGAAAAATCCACCCAAAACCTCGCTGATGAGAAAATCAATCCAAGTTAATGGGGCATTGACATTCGAGATTTACGTAATGAAGAAGACACAAGTATTCAGATGTGTTGTTGTTTTTGTTATGTGCTGTCAAGTCGGACCCGACTCATAGCAAGCCCTCCTTGGGTTCTGAGGCAGTATCACTACAGAAGTAGATTGCCCCATCTTCCTCCCGAGGAGTGGCTGGTGGGTTTGAACCTCCAGCCTTCTGGTTAGCAATCAAGTGCCTTAGGCACTATGCTACCAGAGCTCCCATAAGTATCCAGATAGAATGTTTAATATTGTACCATGAATTAGAAAGAAAATCTAGGATGAAAGACCAAAACCAGTACAAAATTTAAAACCCTTTAATAAAGGACTTTTTGTGACTATCATCTGTCTCTTAACTATAGAAAGAATAATATTCCTAACACCATTTTTGTGTTTTTGGTTCTCAGATGATAAGACCTCACCCTTGGCACCCAGAGATTGTTGATGTTCAGCTTATTACTCTTGGGTCTGTGGCAATAACTGCCATCCCTGGGGAGTTTACGTAAGTACTTTTTATTTTTTAGTTAAAAATATGTTTCTTGTGTGTGTTTCTGTTATAATCACTTTTCATCAGTGATTATAACAGATAATTCTCTATTGGCTCCTTTTTATCCTGCTGTACTAGGTTACCTAACAGAGACAAACATCCCTGTCTTCTTTTTTTGAGAGGACTGGAAAATGGATCTACCTACACCTATTACTGGGGGGGCAACTCAAGGCGTCGTGAAGCAAATGTGGAAACTTACCATCCTAAATTACAGTGTAATCTGTGAGAGTCGGAACCTGATGGGACTGCCTTGTTTTTCTGAGTCTTGCAAGTTTTCTGCCTTTGACAGGGTATAGTCTTACCACTTTTCTATTGCTTGTTTTAGTGGAAAATTCAGTTTTCTTTCTCTGACAGGTTTCCGTCTTACACAGTTCCCGGCTTTTGCAGGTTTGACTGTAAAATGATGCTGTGAATTATTATATCAGTAGAAAGACTTGAAGTAATATTGAAATGTAGGTGCTTGAAACAATTCGTTAAGGTATTAAAAAAAATATGGAGGGATGTTTTAAAGCTGCTCTCTATGCAATCTTTCCTATCTCATTAAATGACAGTTTTATATCTTTCCAATTGCTGAGGCCCTAAATCTTGAAGTCATACCTGAACCCTTTCTGTTTGTCCTTTCTCTGACTCACTCTGTCATCAAATTCTAGGCATTCTACCCAACACTTTCTATCACTTTCTCTCTGATCTAAGCCACAATTATCTCTCACCTAGATTATTGTAATACCTTGTATTTGGTTTCTTTGCTTTCCTCCTTGCCTTTCTATAATCTTTTCTCAATTACACAGCAACCAGAGTGTTCTGGTTCCCTAGTGCCACTCTGACAAGAAATATACCACAAATGGGATGGCCTTAACAAACAGGAGTTTATTCTTACAATTTGGAGGCTTTGAGTCCAAGTTGAAAGTACCAGGCTCTAGGGGTCCAGCTCTGCCTCCTGCTCCTGGCCCACTGGAGCTAGAGGCGTTTCTTCACTCAGACAGCTGCTGGCTGCTGAGGCTGCCAAGCCCAAGGTTGACAAATAAAATGGCACAGTCCTGATGTTACTAAACCACATGGCAGGTCATTAACGTAAGTCCAAGATTGGCAGAGCATGTCAGTCTGCTGAACAATGACATGGCTACATGCAGGGTCCAAGAGTGTCATAAGCTAGAGATCATTCCCCAAGACTTCTGCTTATATACAGGAAGCAGACTACGTTCCCTAAGGCAGCTGCTCAGCTGTTTGTGGTAGATCCCACCGTGGAGTTGATTGCCAGTCTCATCATGGGGAATAACTACCACCAGCTGCCCAGCCACTCAGCCAGGCCTAACCAAGTTGACACACAAACATAACTACCACACAGAGCAATCCATTTTAAAACACAAGTTAGATCATGTCACTATTCTGCTCAAAACCTTCTAATACTTCCACATCTCACTCTAGTTAATACTCAAACCTTTATAATATCCTATAAGACCCTACTTGATCTGCCTTCAGCAATCTCTCTGATTTAATACTCTACCTCTTACCTACCTTTGCTTTAGCTACCTTGGCCTCACTGCAGACTCTCCAAGTACGATCCTTTCTCAGGATCTCTGAACTTAGGATGCCATGTGCCTGGAACACTCTCCCTCTAGGTATCCTCATGGTGACTCTTTTATTCCTTCAATTCTCTGGTCAAATCTCACTTTAACAAAGATGCCAAATATAAGAGCCTTCATCTACCATCACAACAACCACATCACCACTACTGCCAATACTACCACCACCACCACCATTACCACTAAGATCATTGTCATGCCCTTTGATCCTTACCGTGTTATATTATTCTCCATAGCATTTATCATCACCTCACTTTTTTATTTGCTTATTGACTGTCTTCCCTCATTAGAATTACTAGCTTCACGTTGCTGAATCATTAGCACCTAGAAGTAGGCATAATACATGGTAAGTGCTCAGTGTTTGACTGAGTGAGTAAGTGAGTAAGTGAAATGGCCATTTCCTTATGGGAAGGAACAGTACACTGTTCCCGCCTCAGCTCTTATAACACAGAATGCAACTGATATACTTTGTTGAGTCAGTGAATGAAAAATGATTGTGATTTCTTTTTGCCAATGATATTCATTGATTCTGTTTCTCTTCTTTGTTTAGTTGACTTTTCAATTTAGAATTTGTTCTTAAATATATTTTGACATTAGGACAGTTAGGAAAAGAAGTTTAATTTTAGCTTTTCATGGTTGTTGAGTTCCTACATACTTGATTGTTGTTTAGTGAGCCAGTAACTTTTTGGCTTTCACTACGAAGCTTTCTGTATACTTCTAACACACTTCAAATAGGAAAACACTTAGATAATTCTGTTTTCTTAACTCAGGACCATGTCTGGACGAAGACTTCGGGAGGCTGTTCAAGCAGTAAGTTAAAAATGAAATACTAAATTTGAATTCCTAACTGTATTCATAGTTGATAAAAAGGAAAAAAAAATTACTGTGACTGTGATCTAGCATCTTTTAAATTTATCCTTCCTACGATGACTAGAAGGAGGCCTGGTGGCACAATGGTTAAGTGTGTGGCTACCAACAGAGAGGTTAAGTGTGTGGCTTCCAACAGAAAGGATTTCTTTTGTTTTTTGAAGATGATTAGAGTTTCATACATCTTGAAAATGATGGTTGGATTTTATGATGAAACAGTGTTGTGAAGATGGTGCAGGACAGGGCAGTGTTTATTTCTATTTACCTGGGGTAGCTATGAGTCAAAATGGACTCACAGCACCTAACAGTAACAACATGAAACACTGGTGTTATAGGGCCAAACTAAAACAATAAGTATATTGAAAATATTTCATTGGTATTTATGTATTAATAATTTAAAATGTTTAATGGTTTTGTAGATTAAATAGCAAGTAACTCTTACATACCTTAATATCTTAAATTCATGTAAACAATTTAAATAAAATGTATCACATATTGGGAATTCTGTGTTTTATCCTGACTTATGATTTTGTTTACATTCAGAGAAAGGATTCTTAAATGACATAATCAACAAATATCATATTATTTGGATCTGGAAATAACTACTCTACGTAACTAATCTCCACCAATAATCATTTTTAGGAAATGGATAAAATATTTGTATTTTAGTAAGAAGAAGATTCTACCTCTCCAATTGAAGTCATTAAGATGTTCATAGATCCATTGACTTACTGCATTATGGTACAGGATTATGGTTCTAACTTTTTATCAAGGAATCTTTTATCTTAAGTTTTTATCATTAGGAAGACTTTTGCTAAGAAAGACCTCTTACATGGATCATTTACACTTAAGATTATGCAGTAAGTGTAAGTTGAATGATAATATACCTTAAAATCAAGAATAATTTTATTGGGCTCTGCTTTCCCCCTAGGAATTTGCATCTTATGGGATGCAGAATATGACTGTTATTGTTTCAGGTTTATGTAATGTTTATACACATTACATTACCACCTATGAAGAATACCAGGTAAAGTACAACCTTCTCATCATTTAAATAAATTATACCCCAGTCAAGTTTACTGTGCCAAATGCAGATTTTCTTTCTAAATTTCCTGAATCATGTTTCTGTGAGATGATTTTGCCTTAGGGGAGATAAGAGGATGATAAGCCAGAGATTATATTTGGAGATTTCATGTTCATTATTTCCTAGGTCAAGTCAGAATTCTAGTTTCATTGACTTTCATCTTCTCTGAAATAAATTACTTTCTTAGGGGTATAGGTAATAAAGGAGCTTTGCTAGCACAATGCCTAAGGCATTTGCAAAAAGGGCAGGCAGGTGGCATCTTCTGACCTCCTCTAATTTCACAGGAGGAAGACAGAATTGCCATCAGCATCCCAAGGCCTGTTGCTATGAGGCCAAACATGCTGCCACCCTTCAGTCCTCTTACCACCCTTAACACCAAGCGTTCCTTCTGAGGCACCCATCAGCTCTTTGCTGGGTTTGATAATTCACTGCAGTAGCCATACAGAACTCACAGATTATGGAGTTTATTAGGGAAGCAACAGCCTACAATTCAAGTTCAGGAACATGCTCAGAATACAGTTCTTTGGTCAGGAGAGCCTCCCTTTTGTTGTGCCCTTAGACATGCCTCTTTGGCCCTTGACCTCTTGGCCTGGCATCTGCCTCTGTGGGTCAGGTAAGCCTGCCACTCTGCCTGTGCCTCTTGGTTCCACTGCCACTGTCTCTCCGCCAGGCATCTCTCTCTCAGCAATGTGTCTCTCTCTAAGCAGTGTGTCTCTCTCAGCCAGCAGTCAGATTCTTTCTGCCTCTAGCAGGGCTCATTTTGAGTCTGGCAGAGTGGCAAAACCAACCAATCCCAACATCAGAGTTTTATTCACCTGAGAGAGTGCTAACTTTCCCAGATTACTTCCTGCTGCTCCAGGAAATACCCCAGGTGGATGGCTGTAACAATCAGGAGTTTAAAAGCAGCTACTCAGTTACTTAGGGCAAATTCCACCACAGAGTTAATTGCTAGTCTCATTATAGGAAATAACTATTACCAGCTGCCCAGCCAAGATGACACATATTTGCATGGTTCCATCCAGTAATCCGGGGGGAGTTACAAAGACTATGGCTAGAAAAGCCGCACCATGTAATTCACTACACCACAGCATTTGACTGCTAACCAGAAGGTTGGAGGTTCAAACCCACCAGCCACTCTGTGGAAGGAAGATGGGGCAATCTACTTCCATAAAGATTTACCAGCTTGGAAAACCAATGGGTGTGACTATGATTTGGAATAGACTTGTTGGCAGTGGGTTTGGTATTTTGGGTATGTACTGAATGCACTAGCGAAGCATTTTGCTCATGTTCTCTTAAGTAGCACTAAAAATAGCCCTAAAGTTAGGTATTATTGTATCCATGATATTGTTTAAAAAACAGTGTCAAAGAGTTTAGGGCAGGCTGGTCACTAGTAATGTTTTTTGTTGTTATTTGTTTGTTTTAGAAATAGTCCAGAAAGTAGGCTAAATATTTTTTTAACAACAGGAGTGAAAACATGAAATCAATTCAAGATTCCCACGAGTAATGATCTCTGATATATCCACTACAGTCTACTCCTTGACAAATTCTCAGTAATACCAGTGGTGAGATTTACCCCACTGCTGTTGACTTCACTAAATTTCCTTGCCTGCTAAGGAATCCTGTTGAATAAAGGTTCTTAACTGAGATAAACTTAGGTGGGAAAAATTACATATTTTTTTTCCTACTAATATTTGACATTTAGTATTTCCCTCAATTTTAAATTTTGGCAACAAACTGCAGTAGCATTAGCAGTATCTCTTATTTTGACACCAATAGGAACCAGAAATATCTTCATAGCACACACAGTTATTGCAGATCTTGAAATACTGTTTATTCTCATCACTGTTTTAAAATCATAGTAGTTATTAGATCTGTAGCTAGATCTTGTTATTTAATAACATAATAAAAGTACGAGGAGCTCTGGTGGTGTAGTGGTTAAGGCTTTCTACTGCTGATCAAGAAGGTTGTTCGTTTGAACCCATGAGTAGCTCTGCTAGAGACAGATGAGGTAGTCTGCCTTCATAAAGATTTATAGCCTTGAAAACCCTGTGGGGCAGTTCTATTCTGTCTTATAGGGTCATTATGAATCAGAATCAACTCATTGGCAGTGGGTTTAATAAAAGTACACATATTACTAATTGCTATACAACAAAGTTTGTTTATTATAGTTTGATAAGTATATTTCAATCTAATTGTTTTCCTTTGTCAATCCCATGCATTTAGAAACATTATTCTGAGAAGGATCTAAAGGCCTAAACAGACTACCAAAGGAGTCTGTTACCAAAAAATGTTAGGAACACCTACTAGATTGTCTCTTGATCCAGGGACATGCTCCTGCAAGGATTACTATTCACTCATTTACTCATTTATTCAACAAGTAGGTGTTGTAATAGATGTCATGCTAGCCACTGAGCAGTGGGCATAACAGTAGTTAAGAATCTGTCCCTGCCCTAGAATTTGATGGCAGCTAACCAAAAGTTTGGTGGTTTGAACCCACCAGGAGAAGACAGAAGAAAGCAGATGATTGCATTCTGTGAAAGACATGCACAAGGTATATGAAACACAGAAAGATTATCAATCTAGATTGAGTATTTGGAGATGGCATTAGGCAGACCTGTGGGACAATGTAATATCTGTCTGAGTTCAGGCAAATAAAGTTAGGAAGATGTTCCATATAGAGGGAGTTACATATACAAAGGCCCAGAGGTACAAACTTAGCACAGTTAAAGGATCATAATTAGTTGAATACCATAGAGTAAGCTTGATGAGGATGATGAGGGCTAGAGGAGGAGGTAGGGTTTAGTTGATGGCATGACATGCTGTAGAGTTTTGACTCAATAAGGAATGTTTTGAGACACTACAGTAGGATTCAATGTAAGAAAATGTTATGATCAAATTTGTGGTTTAGATAGGCCACTAGGATAGCTGTACAGAAAACACACTGGAAGGGTAACTCGAGAGAGAGAACTAATTAAGAAGCTGCACTTATAATCTGGGAAGTAAAAGCAGTAGAGACAGAGGAAAATGGAAGAATTCAAGAGATTTTAAGGAGATAAAATGATAAGACTTAGAAATGTATAGGATGTAGGATGAGGGGTAAAGAGGAGTCTAAGGTGATTGCCACATGATCCTTGCTTGGGAGACTGGAAGGATGGGAGATAGGAAGAATGCTGCAGAGAAAAGCTGGAAAATCTGCAATAGGTTCCATTTTAGATCTGATGGATTGAGGTCCCTGTGGAACAACCAAAGACTTGGGGTTCAAGTAAAAGGAGTATAGTTAGCTCTGATCCATAGCAGCTGTAGGCTAAATGTGCTTCTCCAGATAGTACCATGAGCACTCAATTTATCCAGGAGTTACTAAGACTCTCTCTTTTCCATTTTTCCCCCCTTCTGTATGCCTTAGGAAAAAAAAATTTATATTTTAGGAGCGCTGGTGGTGCAGTGGTTAAGGCATTCTGCTGCTGACCAAAAAGGTTGGCAGTTTGACATACACTTAGGAGCTATTGCTGTCTTTAAGATCAAATAGAATGACAGCCCAAATGGAATAAGCTAAGAGAACCCACTGCCTTGAATAAGTAACTGATGGAGCCATTTAATCTGGCTGGTAAATGGAAATGCCTACTTTTCTTTGTCATAATTAACCTTGAATTATAGCAATTTTGAATTATGTAAGAGTTTCAAGTATCATCACTCACCTAACACGTGATACCTCTGTAAATTGTATTGGGATGTGCAGAACCAAATTCAACTCTCCCCTGCTCCTCCTGCAGGTTCAGAGGTATGAGGCAGCATCTACTATTTACGGTCCATATACTCTGTCTGCATACATCCAGCTCTTCAGAGGCCTTGCTAAGGCCATTGCTACGGTAATCAAATATTGTGTGTGTATATGTGTGTGTGTGTGTGTGTGTGTGTCTCAGGGATGGAGAGATGAGAAGGAAGCAAAAAAGACCCTTAACTTCAAGTGTTCAGTTCCTTTCAAAACTTTTATTTATTTTTTAAAATAATAATTATAAGTTATCTCTAAGAGATATTCAGTTAACATCCTTAGGTGTTGGCCTTTTTTTTTTTTTTTAATGATATTATCCTCATAAGCATCATAAGACATCCTACCCTCTCCCCCATTTTTCATATAAGCATATAGGCACATAAATCTTAAGAGGCCAGGATTACTGGAACTAGGAGTTGCACCAGAGTTCTCCAATTCTGGCAGATTCTCTCCAATCACTTCATGAGTAGAGCAACTCATTGATTCTAAGATACCAATTTTATAGTTATATCTGAAATTAAGATGTATTTTTCAACTGTGGAATTGTACAATTGTAATTACTAACATGTTTTTATTTTCTTGGTGGTTCAAATAATAATAATAGTTGTTGTAATCAGTGAAGTCTTATGCTTGGAATGCACGCTTTGCATCAACCTAAAATATTTACATATGTGAACGTTTACTTGACTTAAAGGAACTTCACTTATGGAAGTCTTCCATTTTGGATATAGTTATGAAGCTGCATTAAGATTAGTTAACAAGCAGCGTAATTAATTTAAAATAATAAATAGAACCTTATATACTAACAAGGAGCTCTGGTGGTGTAGTGGTTAAGGCATTTGGCTGCTAATCAAAAGGTTGGTGGTCCGCCGAACCCACCAGCTGCTCTGTAGAAGAAAGATGTGACAGTCTGCTTCTGCAAAGATTTACAGCATTGGAAACCCAATGAGAGTTGCTATGAGTTGGAATCGACTCCATGACAGTGAGTTTGGTTTTATACCAACAGCTCCAATAAAGGTTGTTAAACAATTACATAATAGCAAAGACTATAAAGCTCCTTTAAAGAGAGAACTTGAATATATTAGATTCAAACAAATGAAATTGCTGTTTCTGTAGGACAAAATAGTTAAATATTGGCAATTTCCTGTGTTTTAACATAATTAGTTGATGATCATGTGTTGGAAATTTTGGTTTAATGTATTTATTTACTTCTGGATATATTTCAATTACCTTATTATTGTTTTCCACTCAATTTTAGGACTGATACTATTTTTTTTTAAAGTAAAAATATATTTTTTATTATAAAAGCTATATCCACTTTAGATCATACAGAAAAGTATAAATCTTTAGCCCATCCTCAGAGATAACTACTGTTTAAGTATCATTACAGTTATAGGGTTGTAGTTCTTGTTGTGGAACTGCTGTTGTTATGTGCTGTCAAGTTAATCCAAGCACACAGTGGTCCTATAGGGTAGAGTAGAATTTCCCTGTAGGTTTCCTAGGCTATCATTTATACAGGAGCTCATCACCTGGTCCTTCCTCCTGTGGAGCAGCTGGTGGGTTTGAACCACTATACTTTTCGTTAGCAGCCAAGTGCTTAATCATTACATCACCAGGGCTCCTGCTCTGGAACTAGATTCTTCAAATTTTATGGTTATATTTAGTGAAGAAAAGTGTGATTCACTGGGAGAAAATTTATTTTACAAGCAATTACTTAGTTTTACATTTTAAGACTAGCTATGTGACCTTGAGAAAAATCAATGAGTATTTCCAAGTCTATTTTCTTATTTGAAAAATGGAAATGGTAATACATAGCTACCTTATACCTCTTGTTTACAATGTAAGGATTAAAGTGTATTAAATACACAAGAAGGGATATTTAAAATCTGAGATTAACATTTTGATAACAATTTTAAAGGTGATAAATTTTGTGGAAAACATTAAACCACTGAGGATATAGGCTAATGTAAAATTTTACATTAAAAATACATTATTATAATCTTTAATTAGCAGAGTGAAGGGTCCAGGAAAAAGACTTGGTATTGAGTCTTGGTTAGAGAGGCTTGACACATTTTTAAAATTAAAAGAAGAGTAACAATTTCATGTTATAAATGCTTGTGTTAGGGTGGGTTCTCTCGAGAAGCAAAACCAGCAAAGCTTAGAGAAAGAGAGAGAAAGAGAAATTTATCTTAGGAAAATGGCTCACACGCTTATAGAAGCTGGCAAGTCCCAAGTTCTTGGATCAAATGTCAAGCTGGAGGCTTTTCCCGACTCAGGCAGCTGCAGGGGCTGACAAGCGCAAGGTTGACAGGTAGTATACCAACTATTGTTGTTGTTGTTATGTGCCGTCAAGTCGGCCCCGACTCATAGCGACCCTTCCTTGGGTTTCCGAGGCAGTATCACTACGGAAGTAGATTGCCCCATCTTCCTTCCGAGGAGTTGCTGGTGGGATACCAGCTATTAGGAGCTCTGATAGCATAGTGCCTAAAGCACTTGACTGCTAGCCAGAAGGCTGGTGATTGAAACCCACCAGCCATACAGATTGGGAAAAAATATTTGGTAATAACATATCTGACAAGGGACTTATCTCTACAATTTATAGAACACTCCAATACCTCAATAACAAAAAGACAAACAATCCAATTAAAAAATGGGCAGAAGACATGAATAGACACTTCACCA